ATTGACCAGTTTGCAGGGCTCAGGATTGTGTCAAAGGTACAATCACTAATCTATCCCATATAACAACAACAACAAAAAAAGAGGCAAAATGTGTTAACCACATCAGAGCAGAGAAACTGTAGGACTAAGGAACATACCTCTCATTTCTGCTGCTTTATTTTCAGTTATCCAGGTTATTCAATTGCATTTACCAGAGGTAGATACAGGCCTTGCCAAAAATGGAAATATACATCTCATATTTATTTTCTAAGTTAATGGATCCTGATTTTGTTGTTGATTACATTTCAAAACCACTTTAAAATGATTTATACCTGCTGTTCACATAAATATCATGTCATTTTGTCTTTCTATCAATGGCCAGTAGTGCCTGGGACAGTTTGAGATGAGTTTCCTGTCTTGTTGGCTTCCTTGGTCAGAAAGTTGAGTGGTTTTCTTTTTAAGAGCTCTAGAGAGGAACGTTTGGGCTGCTGTTCACCTTGCCTCACCTCACCTCATGTTTCCGTGTGGTCTCCCCCCATAAATTTCCAACTGTTCTGACACCTCCAGTTTGTCTTTCTTCCACTGGCTGTCCCAACCTGAAAGTTGGTGTGATTTCTCCACATGATGGAATGTGTTCAGATAATTGCTTGCTCTGCTTTCCTGTTAGCTAAGCTCTCCCATTCCCACTGGGATGTCACATTTTGAAATAGTAACTGAGTCACATTTTAGGTTTTAAAACAGGAGATGGACAGTATCTGAATACTGCTTGGGTTTTTCTAGACTCTTGAGAATAATCTTTGCATTGATTCTTGTTCTTTATCTTTGGAGCAGAGGCATGGGTTAGGTTTCAGTGACCTAATAGAGCATGAAAATGACTACTACCGAAAGAACTGAATTGGAGATACTCAGGCAAATTTTAAAATTAGATCAGCATGTTATCATATACTAGAGGCCCAGTGCACGAAATTCGTGCATGCGTAGGGTCCCTAGTGGCTGCTGGCTGCCGGCCGGGGCCTCACTTTGCCAGCTGCAGCCAGGGCCTCCCTTTCCTGGCTGCTGGATGCTGGCCGGGTCCTTCCTTCGTTCCACGCCGCCCCCTGGTGGTCAGCACACATAACGAGCGATCAAACTCCCGGTCGGTCGAACTCCCAAGGGGACACTTTGCATATTAGGTTTTTATATATATAGATGTTTGGTCATTGAAAGAATTAAGACTTGGCTAATGCTAGGCTAAGATGTAAACTCATGGCAGATATAGAGCAGACTTAAGGATCATCTTTGGAACATCAGGTTCCTTTTTGAAAGATATAAAATTTTGTCTTGTGATAAGAGAAAGGAGCTTTTATTAGGTTGGTGATCAACATTTGAAACCAATGTGATTTTTATAAAAAGACTAGATGCCTGGTGCACGAAATTCATGCACGGGTAGGGTCCCTAAGCCTGCCTGGTGATCAGGGCTGATCTGTGGGGTGACTGGCAGGGCAATCGGGGGGCCCCTGCTGGCACCCGCCTTGGCTGGCCTGGGGGCTGGGGGCAGCTCCTACGTTGAGCATCTGCCTCCTGGTGGTCAGTGTGCATCATAGCAACTGGTCATTCTACCATTCGGTTGATTTGCATATTAGGCTTTTATTATATAGGATTATTTTATTATCCAGACCTATTTCTCTGTCTTCTTATAACTATATATTTGTGTTCTATATAAGTGTGAAGCGTTATTTATATATAGCAACAGTGTCCAATAATAACATGGTATGAGCCAGATGTGTACTTTAAAATTTTCCATTATGTTCCTTATAAATGGTGAGAAGAAAGAGGCTAAAAAGTATTTTTCAACATGTAATCAATATAAAAATATTTGATAAGCTGTTTTTACTTTTTAAAAAAACTTAAAGTGCAACGCAGTCTGTACCGGCCACATTTCATATGGTAAACAGCACATGTGGCAAATGGCTGTTGTCATAGCAGCAAGTACAGAGGATATTTCACTTTTCAGTGGCTGTCAGAGGAAGGCAAGAAATTATAAGGGTTCTTAAATCAGTTTTGCAGCTTTAGCAGTTTTGGTGAGTATTTAAATCGAATCAGTTGGTAAAACAAGATAATACTATCCATTGATTTGTTGTTGTTGGTGGTGTTGCACTTGTCACTCCACTGCCACTGGTGTACTTGCTCTTTTAGGTTTTTCCCAAAGTTTTTTAGCACCTTAAAATGACTTACTTTGGGAGATCTTATGAATATTTGTTTGAAATGTCATAGGCTATTTGAATCCACACCTCCAAAACTTCCTATTGTGTAGCTGATGTGGTAAATTAGTTTCTTATGCTATTGGGCAAGGCAGAGAGGTTCAGCCTCTTCAGCAGCCAGATATACTCTAGTTGCAGTAAACAATTAGGGCTGTGAGCAATTGACCTTGGAAATGTTCTAATTTGCTTGTCCCTGGGTGCTGCTTAAGGCGCTGGCTTTCTCTGTGGGTGGGAGTTATGAACCCAGTTTGGAGAAGCTTTAGAGGCACTTGGGGCAAGCTCCAAACAGATGTGTTTCTTGCTTCATCTTTGCATGTGACCAAGTTGCAAGAGGCATGTTCCTCGCATGCATTTCTTTGAATGCCTTGTGGAATCAGACACTTCCGCCTAAAGTTGAGAGGAAGCTTCGGTTACCTTTAGGTCTACCCTTCCCCTTCCTTCCAGCACTGTCTGCCATAATGATGGCTGATTAAAAATGATTTCATCACTATTTCATCATATTTCTTAAATTCACTGAAAGAGGACATAGAAGGCACCTTTTATGGTTTTGTCTTTATTACTACTGTTGTAGTGTCAGATCTGGAAGCTAGCTGAATAAGTGAAGAGAAGGAAATGTTAATTGGAAAAGTTATACACAGTGAGAAGTTATAGGCAATACTCAGTAGACGGAGGAGAGAGAATATGTGTAAAATGTAGTTACACTCTCTAAACTGGTGGTGGCAGCAGTGATGGCTTTTGCTCCCACACAAAGATTTAGGCTTCCTTTTCTTTGGGGCAGTGCTTGGGCAATGTAGTTTTCTCCCTTTACTGTTGTACTGTACCGATTCAAAACATTTACTTGTATTTGGTTGGCTTTCACTATTCTTAGATGATTGCTGATACTTGGTTTATAAATTACTAATATTTATTGGCCCATGTGCTCAAAAAGCTAATAATTTAGTTAGCAGGTAAGACAAATATAAGGAAGGCTACATGGTAGTAAATGGTATGTTTCAAATGAGATGATGGGTCTGTCTGTCCCACTCACGACTTTTTACATTATGACCTAACAGCTTGAATTTCTATCCGGTTGACACACATCTTTTGTAGATGACACTTACTAGGCAACGTACCAGTGACAAACATCCAGTGCTCTTTGTGTATTTACATGCCATGTTCTAAATACCTCATGGGTATTCATTCATTAATCCTGCAACAATGCTGTAAGGGTAGGTAGGTAACATAATTAATTGCTGTTTTACATATGAGTACACTGAGCCTTTCTCAACCCTTTTCCTTATGTGTGACTTTTCCCTTCTTGTTTGCAGTGAGCTCTGAGATCAGTCCTCTTACCCACCCTGCGCCTGTGCTCATTGGAGGGACAGCCCTTTTGCTGAGCTCTGTCATCATTGTACCTGAAAGTTGCATATCCATTCTATACTAATGCTCATTATTGACTTATAAGGTTCCCTTGCTGGGCTTAAAACAAAAGGCTTTGACTAGGAAGGACTGTATTTAAAAATCTTGATTACCATGAATTGTTTCTACTGTACAGGTCATCCTTGCTTGATCTTGCCTCTGGCCATGACCAAAACATCTGGCATTTACTCTCTGAAAAATGGAAGCTGTTAATTTCTATACCCATTTTAAACTGTTGAGCCTGGTTTACAAGAATGTTCATGATGTCACTAGCTATACTCCTCCCTCCGCTCTGTGTGCTCCAGCTAGAGAAACTGGGTCGAGTTCCGCCATGTGCTCTGTCACGCCTCTTTGCCTTTGCTCACATGACTTCCTTTCTCTACAATGCTCTCTCCCAGTTGACTGCTTGGAGGGCACTTACTCATCTTTCCAGGCAAAGCATAAGTATTGTGTTTTCTACAGACATTCTTCTCCTACCCAGACCCAATGGCTCTCTTTGGTTCCTCTGTATGGGTTGTGCATTCATTTATCAAAACAATACAGCACTTCTTTGCATTTAATTGTTTGTAAGTCCACATTCCCACCATGAGATCCAGTTTGAAAAGGCCAGTAAATAGCCTGTTTCCCAACCAAGTCTTGTCTCTGTTGCAACTGCCCAACTCTGCCATAAATAATATATGAACGAATGGGTCTGATTTGACCAGTAGTGGGCTGCATCTTACTGACTCCTGGTCTAGGTAAAAGTCATTCTGTGATAGTCTCTGTTCATATGTATAAGGCTAATAAGGATGGGTTCAAGTTTATAAAATCAATGTACCTGGAAAGGAATTATGGAGAAAATAACAGAAATGTTCTTGTAAATAACCTTTTTTTTTTTCTGGCCATTTCAATTAATTATTGGTAGAAAATAATTTTTAATTTCACATAAAAGAGTATAATGTGAGCCTTGGCAGCTTCTATCTCATGAGTTCGTAATAACTCGAACTTGAAAGTTCTTCTAGGGTCAGGCCTGTCCATAGTGAAGTTCATGTGATTTCCTCCTTTCCTAAGCCCTTTACATTTTCTGGAGTTAGTTCCACAAATACATACTCTAGATACAAGGCCCTTATCAAGTGTATGATGTGTGCGTACTTTTTCCTGTTCTGTGCATTGCTGTTTTACTTTCTTGATAGTGTTCTTTGAAATGTAGAAGTTTTTAATTTTGATGAAGTCCAATGATCTATTTTTCTTTTGTTGCTTGTGCTTTGGGTATCATACCTAAGAATCTATCGCCAAAATCTAAGGTTATGAAAAGTTAATCCTATTTTTTCTAAGAGTTTTATATTTATAGCTATTACATTTAGATCCATTTTGAGGTAATTTTTGTATATTTTTGAATTTAAGGTCAAATTTCATTCCTTTGTATGCACGTGGCTATCCAGTTGTCCCAGCTCTGTTCTTTCCCCAATGAATGGTCTTGGTACCAAGTCGAAAGTAAGTTGACCACACAAGTTTATTTTTGGACTCTCAGTTCTGTTCCATTGATGAAGTTGTATGCCTGTCTTTGTGCCTGTATCACACTGTCTTGTTGTGTTGCTTTGTAGCAAATTTTGAAATTAGGAAGTATAGTCCTCCAATTTTGTTCATCTTTTTAAAGATTGTTTGAGGTCCCTTGTAATTCTATATGAATTTTAGGATCAGCTGTCCATTTCTACTAAGAACCTAACTGGGATTCTGATGGGATTTTATGAATCTGTAGATTAATTTGGGGAGTATTACCATCTGAACAATATTAAGTCTTCCATTTCCATGTATTTTTACATATTTACATTTTTCATATTGTTTTTACATTTTTTAAGATATTTTAAAATTTCTTTCAATAACATTTTCAGAGTATTAGTTTTACACTTTTTGTTAATTTATTCCAAAAAAAAATTTTACTCTTTTTGATGTTAATATAAATGGAATTGTTTTCTTAATTTCATTTTCCGATTATTCATTACAAATAGAATTGATTTTTATATGTTAATCTTATAGTAAAGTTGCAGGCTGAAGAGATGTCTTACATCTCTTCAGCCTGCAACTTTACTGAAATTGTTTATTAGTTTTATGTGTGTGTGTATATATATATATATACACACATACACACACACTGAGTATATATCCCATACGATGCAGTGTACAGCTAATTTGCCTACAAATGTCAGGTGATTCCTTAGGATCAGAGCATGTCATCTACAAATAGAGATAGTTTTATTTTTCCCTTTTCTAATCTGGTTGCTTTTTGTTTATTTTTCTTGCCTAATTGCCCTGACTAGAAACTAGAGTACAATGTTGAATAGAAGTGGTGAGAACTGACACTCTATCTTGTTCCTGATCTCGGGCAAAAGCATCTAGTCTTTCCTCATTAAGTCCTGTATAACGTTAGCTGCAGGATTCCCTCCGGCAGTGTCCTTCCAGCACCCTCTATTGAGAAAGTTTAACATGCTCGCTGTAAAAGGAGATGCTCAAAGCAATTCCATTCATTACCCGAGGGTGTGTATTAGAAGATACATTTGAGCTGAGTGGCAACAAATTGGTTAAGTGGAACAGCACACAAATAAGCAAGTGGAAGAAAGCCTTAAAGGTGTGTGATAGAAACCTCTGTTCATAAGCAATCCTAGCTAAGGGCCTATAGGAAAAATTTCACACAGAACGTGAAGAGAAAAAGGTGGGCCTGGGAGAGGTTACTTCTGAGGAAAGCAAAGGTGAGAAGAGGTGTGAAGTCCTTGGTGTCAGGTTCTGTGGAGAGTAAGATTTCACCCTACTTGGTAGTTACCATGTTAGCCACCAGTTTCATGGATGCGGGCAAAAGACAGGAGACTTCTGGATGAGAGACAGGTCTTTATTTCTTGTAGCACATATGCCCATGGGTTTGCCTTGCTGCCCAAATCCTTACGGGAGTGATATGGAAGGGTCCAGAGTGATTCTGCAGTGGGTTTGTGTCACAGCTATGGGATCCAGATTTCTACAATGGGCTTTGCCCTGGAGGAAGACATTATCTTACTGTAACTGCCCTCTGCTTTGGGGGGAAACACTGTCCCAGTCTTCCAAAGCTCTGTTCATTGTACAAACATCTTTGAAGAGATAGTTTGCAACAAAAGGGCCCTTCATGCCTCTGCTTGCAAACTGTGCCGAGATGTGTGAGACCTATTAAGAATTGTTTCCCAACACCTGGCAGATTCAGGGACCCACGAGCCGTTCAGATTGAAGATTAACTTCAGTTTGGGCCTTTCTGAGATTTTTGCCACCACATGTTACAGCTTCAGCACTTACGTCAGGAAGATGTAAGACGTCTCTTCATGTAGGAAGGGCATGGTTGCTGCTGGGTTCCTTTCTTCTTTCCCTTTTTGCCAAATAAGCCAGCACAATACTTGGTTGGCTGAGCAGAATAACTTAGGACTTGAAAAATTCTGGAATCAAGTAACCTGGGTTCAGACTCAGTTCTGCCAATTAATAGCATTGTGACTTTAAATAACTTTGATTTTCTCATCTGTAAAATAGGAATAGTATTATAAACTAGCAACTAATACCTAATGATGACTTAACTATGTGTCCACAAATACCTCCCTTATTCCTACTTTATTTAGGGTTGATATGAGAATTAAATAATGTGTGTAAAATGTTCCCTACTGTGCTTGGCACATAGCACTAACATGATTTCATTTTTGTTAATAATTATTTAGGCCCTTTGCAGGTGAGAAAGAGGGATCCTTTGACGTTCTTGGCTCAAAATGAGTATTACACAGAATTAATATTGTAACAGTTTAATATTATACAGGTAGCCATGAGGTAACATGCAAATCCTGCCACCTACTAGCTGTGCGACTTTGAACCAATTACCTTCACTTCTTTGCATATGGACAGTATCTTTTTTTCATGGTTGTTCCTAGTTTGAAGCAGCTTATACGCTTTGTTATGCAGGATTTACTTCTCGTTGGCTAGTCAGACCAGAAACACTTGCTTTGGTTATAAGAATCAGTGGGAAAACAACTTAAAGTATATACTTTTCTATTGAGATGGAGAATGGCACCAAGATGTTGAGGGCCAAGTGTGTTTGTGTGGGTGGAGGGAGTATGGGCCTTATCTTCTTAATAGAAAAAAAAGAGACATTTATGGTAAGGTCTGAGAAGCAGGAATGTGTTCTAGTTTCAGAAAAATTAGTATGGGATTTAATTTTCAAGCAAAAAGGATCAGAGTTCCTGTGGGACAGACTAAAATAGACATTTAAACCAGTTAACAAAGAAAGATTATGTAATGTGTTGCATAGAAGATGCAGCTTGTTAGTCTGTTCCCTTGTAATGGAACCTTCCAGAGTTCTTAGGTAGTTTTGGAGTTTGTTGAGTTTGAAGGAATTACCCTGTATCTGCCATATCTTTGTTCTCTCAAGGCTAAGTTTATGAGTTCATTTGGACCTTGGCTGGAACTCAGAAATAATTTTATAATTTTCAAAGTGCACCATGCACCTGCGTTTAGGTACTTAATAATTGGGAGGCAAAATACAAATAGTGTTGCTCTAATGAACCCTAACAGATTCATATACCAAATCCCTGTAATACCCAGAAACTTTTCTTAGACCCAGGTGGATGTCAGATGACCATACAAGGTCTAAGGCAGTGGTTCTCAACGTTCCTAATGCTGCGACCCTTTAATACAGTTCCTCATGTTGTGGTGACCCCCAATTTCATTGTTATAAATTGAACATAATTAAAGCATAGTGATTAATCACAAAAACGATATGTAATTATATATGTGTTTTCCGATGGTCTTAGGCGACCCCTGTGAAAAGGTCGTTTGACCCCCAAAGGGGTCGCGACCCACAGGTTGAGAACCGCTGGTCTGAGGTATTTCGGATGCTCAACTGTGAGGCGGCTTTTTTCCTTTCCTCTTTTATTTATTTATTTATTTATTTATTTATTTATTTCCTTCCTTTCCTCTTTTATTTTTTAATTAACTGATTGTATGTTCCAGGAATTTATTTTTCATTCTTTTTGTTGTTGTTAATCCTCACCCAAGGCTGTTTTTCCATTGACTTTCAGAGAGAGTGGAAGGGAAGGGGAGAGACAGAGAGAGAAACATCAATGTGAGAGAGACACATTGATTGGTTGCCTCCTGCACCCTCCTTGACCAGGGCTAGGGATCAAGCCTGCATCTGACGTACCTGCCCTAAACCGGAATTGAACCCAGGACCTTTTAGTCTGCGAGCCAACGCTCTATCCACTGAGCCAAACCGGCTAAGGCTGTTTTTCATTCTTGTATTTAAAAAATATTTGCATCTTCACCCCAGTGTATTGCTTCTCATTCTTATCACTCTTGGCCATATCACCAATGGGGGGGGGGGCTCTCGAAATATAAGCAGAATCTTTTACATAATCTGCCCTCACATGTTAGTATAGTTATAGCCAGGGCAGGGTAGACTGCCATGTGACCAGGGATTTTAATGTCCTGTGTTCTTTCTTTCTTTATTGGTTTTGGTTGGCCATGCGAATGGATTTCTTCTCTAAAGGGGAAGGTATATTTGCCAAAATATTATGTTATTTGTTAGAGTTTAACAGGTGATTGATTTAACTTCCTCTTTTCATTAAGAACACATTTTAAATGTAGATCCGGAAAGGAAGTGAGGTGTAAAAACATAATAAATGTATGTAGGTCCTCATACATTTATTAGAGGCACTATTTATCATGTGCCGTAGTGACTGCTCTCCAGCGCTGGGCCCCAGCAAGTCCTCCCTTCACTGTGCTTGCATTCCGTTCCTTGCGCCAACAGATGGAACTTACTGGGGTAATCACCCCAGCTTGGCAGTAGTAGCAATAAGTGAAATTGGTATCAGGAGTGGGGTTTGAACCCACATTGGCATATGTTCATATTTCTGTGAAACAAATGACCTTAATGTTTTAAAACTACAAACTCTTTTTGTCCTAATGTCTCATGATTTAGTGCATTACCTGACCTGGGCTGGGAGGTTCTTTTACTCACGTGATGTCAGTGAAGATGGCAGCCATCTGGGGGCTCGACTGGGTGGGAACTTGCAGGATGGCCCTGTTGCGCAGCTGGCAGTGGGTGCTGACTGTTGGCCGGTGTCAGCTGGAATTATTGACCAGAGCCTTAGCATTCCCCTTCATATGGCCGCTTCATGTGGTTTGGGTTTCTCCCAGCACGGCGGCCATTCCAAGAGGAAGGAAGCAGGAGCGGCCAGACCTCTTAGGACCTGGACTCAGAAGTTACAGAATGTCGCTTTCATAGTGTCCAGTTATTCAAAGCAGACACAGGGCCAGCCTCAGCCCGTGGGTAAAGGACATAAGCTCTGCTTCTCAACGAGAGGGTAACATTCATGTAAGGACCAAGAGAATTGATGTTTGAAAACCACTTACTGACTGTGCTGGATTTTGGAACTCTAGCAGTGACTAAAATAGACATGGCCATTGAGTGCTGGTAGAGGCTGGAGAGAGGAGGA